GCGAGCACAAGAAAAGCACCGCCACACAGAAACATACAGCTCAGCACAGGACATGGAGGCACTTCCAGAACAAAATAGACCTTTTGGGGTTTTTAGCTTTAAAGAAGAGTTGACTCAGCAAATATTTCCTCCGCTAGCATTTCAACCACATGTTCCAGCAGAAGCCAGCACACATCTGGCACGCTGCAGTGTCATTTCCAGAAAGATCACAGCTTTGCTGAGCAACGGAAATGGAGGAACGGGGACCAGCAGTTCAAGCACCGAGCACTCCTGGAACACATACGTGGCAAAGGAGGATCAGAGACAGGACCCGCGTGAGCCATGGATACCCTACACTTCACAGGTCTTTCCCCAGCCCTCTCTCCAAACAGCATCCACAGGCAATGGGAGACGCTGCCCCGCAACCCGCAAAACTTACCACTGGCCCGTAAAACCTAGACATCAAACCACGTTTCAGCCACATTGATGGTGTCTGAGATTTTTTTACAGTGTCCGTGAGCCAGACGGCAGCACGTTCCTCCCAGTGCTGTAGGACATGGTCCTGCCGAGCAGGAGAAACAAGGAGGAGAGTAAGTGCTTGGAGCAGTAGAGAAACTCCAGCAACCGGAGAGGGGAGCGTGCCGGCAGGAGAGGCGGTGGAGAGCCCTCACGGGCAGGCCTGCGCATCCTGGCTGCTGCTGGCGGCAGGCTGGCAGGTAGGCGAATGCTGCGGCAGGTCCACAGGGCCCGTGGCTCCAAACCAGAGCCCAAGCAAAGCGTGCACTCCCCCTCCAGAAACACCCTTCCCAGAAGGCTGCCAAGGCAATCAGCAATTAAGGTGCTAATCAGCTAAATAAGTGCTGCTTTTCGTGCTTATCAGCTGTAAATTGGACATTACTTGCAGCCTGGCAGCAGGGCTCAGCCACAGCTCCAGACACGTGAAAAGCAGCAGCGCTATAAATACCTTCCCCTCAGAGGCAGTATCGTCCCCAGGTGCTAGACTAAGATTGCTCTTGGTTTTGCAGCAGAAACTGCAAACCATACAATTGCGCACGGTGATGCCAGAAGGGACCACAGGCAGGTACTGGCGACGTCCAGGACCCTGTCTGCAGGGTTTCCAGCCAAAGGGGCGAGAAACAAGGCGGCGTGGCATGGGACGGACGTGGATGGAAAGCCAGGATGGAAACCCGCTCACAGCCCCCCTGGCTCTCGTGCCACAGCCAAAACCCCCGGGCTCCTCGGGCAAGGAAAATGGCGCTAGGAAGCCAGCAGGGAGAAGCACCACGGAGCAGAGGGAGGGAAAGCGGGTTGGGGCCTTGCGGCTGGGGTCGAACACCGTGAAAAGCAGCAGCCAGGAAAACCAACCGGCCGCCCCCAGCCTCCGTGCCGCCGCCGAGGACGGCGGAGCCGGGAAGGGGCAGGGAGGCCGGCTCGCGCCCTGCGCAGCACCGGGGTGGCACAGCGGGGACGGCTCGTCCCAGCGCGCTCAGCAAGGGACAAAACCCCCTCAGCGCTCGGGAGGCCAATTTCCACAGGGGGGGAGCCCCCTGCGTGCCCGCTGGTTGTTTTTTTTTTTTGCCTGCGAGTTTTGATCTGCTCAGATTTCATGGGAAAACCACCCACCGCTGCACACAAACAGCCTCGCTGCTGTCTCCTAGCCCCGGGGCCGGGGAGGCTGCGAGACGGGGCCGAGCCCGGCGAGAGGGGGCTCCGGGAGCGCCTGTTCGCTCCCCTCCCAGGCGGCAAACGCCTGGCGCATTTGCATCCCGCTTCATTTCGGCAGGGGCGGGCAGGGGG